TGGGCAGCAGGATCCAGGCATTAAGTCACACTACGTACTCTAACTCAAACCCCTTCAGGAATATCTAATGCGCTAAAAAAAAGTTGGCAAAAAAAAAAAGAAATCACTGTCCTAATGACCTTTTAAAGTCACTGTTCTCACCCCAAACTCTAATACCATCCCATTTAAATACACCAATAAATCTCTGCTTTAACATAGTGATTGGTAGGTTTGAACCTCTCATGAAAGAGTTGAATCTGATTCTGGGGCTCAGGTGTAGGGTGTGAGATGGCATGGGGAGGACTTCATGGAAGAAAACAAGACCTTGAGTATTGAGTAACAGCTGAGACTAGCAAGTCTCATTGTCCAGCATTCCAAGTCATCTGGCAGCATATTGGTCTTTGCGGTTGAGAGAGAACAGAGGATTCCCAGCAGAAAGAATGGAATCTCATTTCAATTATGTTCAGTACAGTCACCCTCTTCAGGCAAAGGAGCCAGAACACCTGGTGCAGCTTGGGCCACTGTGGCCCCAGGGACACTACATTATACAGGTCCTGGAGGCAGGTGGGAATGTGGCTTCCGCTCCTCAATTAGATGCTATATACATGTAGAGGAGGAAGATAGGAAAATATCAGGTAAGTTCTTCTTATTGACACAACATAGAGAAGGAATTATTTCATCTTAATGGATTCTCCTCACAATATCTGCACATATTGATTTTCTGGTAATGAATTTGTTTAGGTCCATAAGTCATTACCTTACTAAGATCTAACTAAGTCAGATGGGAGGGTCCAGGTGCTAGAGCATACCTCAGTGACTGTTCTGGTATCAATTGCTCTGTGCATTCCTCCATCTTTTTTAGAAAAAAAAAATCTATGAATTCATCTGGATTCTATCTTATTTATCAATAACAACTACCCCAAAGAACAGTTTAGGTAAGTGTGTCCCGAAGTGGACGATACTGCCCACTGGGGAGTGATATTGGGGAAGACTGAAAAAGCAGATACTTACACTTTATCATGGATTATGGGCAAAAGTTTTAATGGCCAGGGAAAGTACTGAATATTACTGGATTTTGTTTTTTTTTCTGAAAGGCATGCAGTAGGTCAAATAAGTTTGGGAACTCAAGGTCTATATTCATAACACTGTCCAGTAGAACTCTCTGAAATGATGCATATGTTCTATATCGGCACTGTCCAATATATTAGCCACTAGTCACAGAGGGTTATGTATTGGACTACTAACTGGAAAAAGCAGCCATTCAAAACCAACAGCTGCTCCTAGAGAGAAAGATGAGACTTTCTGCTCTCGTAAAGAATGACAGCCTCTACGCTGTTCTATAGGATCGGCTATGAGTCAGAATCTACTAGATGGCCTGGATGGCAGTGAGTTTAGTTTTGGATTTGCTTATTTGTTTGTTTTGAGCCACATGTGGCTATTGAGTACTTGAAATGTGGTTAGTGAGACTGATTAATTATATTTTGCAATTTCATTTCACTTAAATTTAAATAGCCAACTGTGACTACTGTACTGTCCAGAGCAGGCCTAGAAGGGACATGGTGAGGGAAATAGTGAAATTGTGTGAGTTCATGAAAAATAGAACCAATATGACAAGATATTCAGAATTAAGAACAAGAAGCACGAGTTCTAGGTCCAGCTTTGTTGTTGCTAGATGATTTTACCCTCTCTGGGTCTCAGCTTCCCCATTTGTTATTTGAAAGATTTGAACTAAACACAGAAGTCCCAAAATGGTGGTTAAGGACTGAATTCAATTTTAAAATACAGATGAGTTTCAGGAAAACTTTAAAATATGATATAAATGACTTCCAGAGGTGTGTCTGTATGTACACATGTGTACATGTGCACATGGAAGGGACAGGGAGACCGTGAGTGATAATCTCCTACTCTTCTCCTACACACAAGCATACACACATGCACACCCATCCAGCTTATTGTAGACTATGAATCTATTTGGATATATGACCCCTAAATGAGATGGCTTCTAAGGATCTTTTCTCTCTTGTTATACTGTGAACCTAAAGATAGTGCCACCAATCTGTTTCTAGTTTGAGTAGATTGCTGGAAATTCCCACAGCTTCCTGCATCTTCTCTTAAGGATTTAATGCTAGTTGCTAAAGTTTGGAATCATCAAAAGTGAAGACGAGAGCAGGAAGAATAAACTTCTGACTATTAGTCATCTCAGATTTTGGTCAAGAAGTATACGGTTTGGAGCTTCAAGCTCTTTGTGGGGGTTGTGTAGGAGTAGCATGATATAATATACCTAGGCTCGGGCTATTGGATGATCTTTCTTGATAACTGCACTACATCAACTTATTTATTTGCAAAACAAGGATAAAATATAACCTTAACCATCTAATATCATTGTGGGATTAAATGATGTAACCTGTTTGTGAAGTGAGATATGTGCATGGCCCTGAAAAACAGTAACTACCCATATTTGTCTTGTTTAACCCAATCACAGTGAATATACATCTAAGTCCTCTTCTGGGGTGAAAAGATGTCCACATGACTCTGGAAACAAATGAGCTCAAGACCCTGAAAGTGCCAGTGATGGGAAACAGGAGGTCTTCCTATATAAACTGCACCAGAAATGCTGAATCTGTAGGCATTGTCAGTGTTTTGAGCTCCCCCCACCCCCGAATCCGTGTCAGAAATTGGTTCCCTAGATGACAAGACATTGTACAGCTCAAGGCTCTAGTTCTTGGGAAAAAACTGGCTTGGCCCAAATCATATCTTCCAGCTAGTATCTGCATTGGGTGCTGGCATTTGGCACTAGATATGTATGTCTTCTTATTATTGGCTGTGCCCAGGCACTACAGAAATGATTGCTGGACAAGGTCATCTTGCAAGCAGGGTTGGTTTCCAAGATTCAGTACTATGAGTTCTCATGAATTCTTCTTTGTGCTCTTCTTACACGACCCCCACCATCACCATTTCCCCTTTATCTACCCTATTTGTTGATATAAACATGTAACCTATTCTTGCTTTGATTTCCTGGATTGTACTATGATTGGTGTTTGCATTATAGGACATATTTTTCTAATTAGACTTGAAAGCTATGTCCAGTTAAGGATCAATTACTACAGGAACCATAAACAGATATGCAGCAAGTTTCTTTACATTTATCTATGTAAATTGAACCATCATTATTTTAGGCTGTGTTGACTAGAGAAACAAATGCATTGACACTCATATATGTATAAGAAATAACTTTATATCAAGAAGTAATTATTTATCAAGAAAGCATCCCATTCCAGTCCAAGTCAAGTCCTTAAGTCCCTCTTCAGACTCACGCAGCAAAATGTAATGATGCAGAATGCAGGAAGATCACAGGCTAGTGGGTGCAAATTTGTGTGGAATCAAGGTCAGTGGAGAAATGGCAGGGATCCGGCAGCTATCAGAGTCAGCAAGCAGAAAAAGGTAAAGGGGGAGGCTCACAGGGCCCTCCTTATGAAAAGACCACACCCACAAGGAGGCACCATCAGGCTGTGACCTGATTGACAAGTTGGATACCACCCCTACATTTTTATATATCTTCAAGTTGACATAAAATTACCTATCACAATCAGCTTCTCTCTTTATCCATTATTTATTATCATTATATTAATGTGTTGTGGCTTACTTTGGTGCAGATGCTTATGTCTATTCAGAACTATAACCCTTTTCATTATTTATATTTTTGTCAATATAAATGCTACAGAAAATAGCACAAAGTAAATATCTGAATGACGAAAGGGCTCTAAATTGTGAGTGAGTGAGTGAGTGAATGAGGGTGCATGTATTAAACTTTAAGTTTTGGATTATTGTTGTTTTAAGTAATATTAATTTTTTATTATTTTTATCATCCTTCTAACATGTTTAGGCTCTTTTACAGACAGCTTACAGTGACAGGCATATTCTGTCATTTCTTTAATATTATTAAGGACTTTTGACTCATCTCTTCTGTTTCCTAAAGTAGAAAGTCAATATGTGTGTTACAATGTATGTTCAATTATGAGTATAATGTGAGAGAATATTGGAGGTTACTGATGGTGTGTTAGTGGGAAATATAACACTGGAATAATCCTCTTTATAAAACCCAGATTGGTATGATATTTTTTGTAGTCTAAGGATGAGAAGGGTCTTTCAAAGCCATTTGTTTAGCTTCATTCCCATCTGCTGCTTGAATCATTCATAGTTATATGATAATACTCATAGAAGTTATCCTCTGACACATGCTACGGGGTTTCAAAAAGTTTGTGGAAAATTCCATTCTCTTTTAATTCAATTTTTTCACAAATATTTTGAAACCCCTTCTTACAGTATACACACCAGCCGAACTGATTTCTACCATTCTCCCAAATATTCCTTGGTTCCTTTGTTTATATCCTTTGTGTTTCTTCTATCTTGTAAAATTCTTCATCACTCTTTAAGGTCTAGGTCATATGCCACTTTCTATATAAAGTGACTCCACCTATAAAAAAAAGCATTGTGTCTTCTTTTGTTGATCACTCACTTATTGCCTAGCCTGACATTTTAGAGAACTGATTGATGGAATTTATTATTTCTTCTCTACCAAACTGGGGCAGGGCTTATTCCATTTCTGTCACCCAGAAGCCATGGCCTAACCTTGGATGTCTGTTCAATGATGGAATCACAAATGCATTAGTAAATGAATTAATTGAAGGTCTTGGAAATGAATACTGAAGGCTTCAGTTGGGATGAGCCTAATCCAAAGATATACAAAGCTCGTCTTGACACAAGAATCAGAGAGAAAAAGCAGGATTTGAAAGTATAGATTTTTTTTAAATGAAAAAGAAAGTATAGATTTAGTTGGTATTTGGGAAGATAAATTAAATTATTCATACCATTAGACTAATTAGGAAATTAATCTGTGTGCAGAAAGGAAAGAATAAACCACCTCTTATTTTCTTAGTTCAGCCAGGTTTTACAGCAGGATTGCTATACTGTTGTGTTTTGATTTCTGATCATAAATGCAAGTTTCTTTTCCTTCCCAACAGCCCGGAAGCTGAAGAAACTTGGTAACCTGAAACTACAAGAAGAAGGGGAGGGTTCCAGTGCCACCAGCCCCGCTGAGGAGCCAGCTCAAAAGCTTACAGTGTCACACATCGAAGGCTATGAGTGCCAGCCCATATTTCTGAATGTTTTGGAAGCCATTGAACCAGGTGTGGTGTGTGCTGGACATGACAACAACCAACCTGACTCCTTTGCAGCCCTGCTCTCTAGTCTCAATGAATTGGGCGAGAGACAGCTTGTACATGTCGTCAAGTGGGCCAAAGCATTACCTGGTAAGTAAGGGGAAAATAGGTATATGGTATAAGAAAGAACATATTTAAGAAATAATTCTATAAGAGCCCTAGTGGTGTAGTGGGTTACTAGTTGGGGTAACTGCAAGATTGGTAGCTCAAATCCACCAGCTGCTCAGCAAGAAAATAGTGAGGCTTTCTGCCCCATAAAGATTTACAGCCTCAGAAAACAGAGGAGCATTTCTACTCTGTGTTATAAGGCCACTAAGAGTCAGAATAGACTTGATGGCAGTTGCTATAGGCCCGGTAGCATGCTCAGTGCTTTCCTACTCATTAACTTACGTAATCTTCACTGTAACCCTACAAAAGAGGAATTGATATAAAAGAGATGATATACATACTTTACATATAAAGGAACTGACACTCAGAAGACTGAATTATAAAGTATCCTCTCTGTGTCACGTATACACACTACTACCATGGGTCCATGTTGAACCCACTGATGTGCTCAACATTTTTTTCCATAATCACAAATCACATAAATATACCCACATATGTATTAAGATATTCTTCTACATTTGTACACACCGACTTTGCTCAAAGATAGTCTTGAGCCTCACTTTTGGTCTTCAGGATCTATACCATGAAGAGTTGGACATGAAAACACTTGGGTTTCAATCTTAGCTCTACTGGAAACTCACTAGGTGATCCCTGAGCAGACTCCTTTCAATTATGGTGTTTTAGTTTCTCCTATTAGTATAATATGATTTGGACTACGTTAGCATTTGTAAAATTTTGCTTTAAGGAATGTTTACTGCTCTTTAAAATTCCCATAGTAGTGAGTGGGAAGACTTATTGTTCTGTACCATCGAGTCCATTCCATTCATAGTGACACTCTAGGTGTAAAACTGCTCTATGAGATTTCTTTTTTTTTTCTATGAGATTTCTTAAGCTGTAATATTTTCTCACATGGATCCACTGGTGGTTTCAAAATGCTGATCTTTTAGTTATCAGCCCAACACTTAACCAGTGTGCAACCAGGGCTCTACTGATAGAATTCTTTAAAAATTTTATTGCCCTCTATTTAGTTCTGACTCATAGTGACCCTGTAAGGGCAAGGTAGAAATGTTCCTGTGGCTTTCGAAGATTGTACCCCTTCATAGTCATGGAAGTCCTCATCTTTCTTCCACACAGTTTTGAACTGCTGACTTTCAGGTTAGCTGCCCTCTATGTAACCACTATACCACCAGGGCTCCTCACTAAAGGAGTTACTGAGTGTTTATCTAATTTCTTCATGTATACTTTAAGTGAAGGAAAATTAGCATTCTCCTTAGCCCATCATCAGCTCTTTTAATAGATCTGATAATAAAAGTACTAATTGAAGAAGCCTCAGAGATGCTCGATCTAGTGATTCACAAACTTTCTGTAACAAATGGATTCATTTTAAATGCTTCAAAAGCACTGTATGCAGATACAAGTAAGTGTTGCTTTTGAATTTATAGCTAGAGCGTGTGCCCAGGCTTCACCCAATCACTCTACACTTCAATATTCCAGAGAAATAACTGGCCCCTTTGTAGAATCTTAAGAATAAATGGAACACAAATTCTGGTCAACAGGGTCCAATAATATATCAAAGAAACATATGATTGAGAAATAACATATTCCCAGACAAGGATAAATTAAAGGAATTCACAAAAACAAGACCACCACTACAAAAAAATATTAAATGAAGTACTATGGCCCAAAAGTCAACAACACACAAGCCTGACACCAACATACAAGACAATGCTTCACAAATACCAACACACACAAAGCAACATCCAAAACAATAAAATAATACAGGAAGAACAAAGAAACGAATTATACCATACATGCACACTCACACACAACACACATAAATTCAAAGCAAAATAACAGTAGCAAATACATACATATTAATAATCTTACTGAATGCTAATGGACCAGTAAAGAGACAGAGAGTAGCAGAATGAATAAGAAAACAAATTCCTTTACTAAGCTGCCTACAAGAAACAAAGATAACAAAACAGGCTAAAAATCAGAGGCTGTACAAAAGTATACCAAGCAAACAACAGCGAAAAGAAATTAGTAGTTATATTAATCTCCAAGAAAATGAACTTTCAGTCAAACAATGTAATAAGAGACAAGAGTGGACACTATATAATGATCAAGAGAACAATAGTCTGAGAAGACATAACCATGATAAACATATATGCCCCAACAATAGTCCCTCAAAATACATCAGTAAAACACTCAAAGAATTGAATAGGTTATAGAAACCTAAACAATAATAACCTAAGACTTCAATATGCTACTCTCAAGGAAAGAAGAACATCAAGATAGAAACTCAATAAAGACACAAAAAAGCTCAGCAACACAATCAAGAAAATTGATCTCATAGACATATAAAGGATGTTCTTTCTAACAAACAATTACCAAAATCTACAGAACTCTACAACAGCTCAATAAGAAAATAACAAATGTTCTAATTAAGCTGTGGGCAAAAGACATGAACAGACAGTTCACTAAAAATGATGTACAAATGGCTAACAAACACGTGAAAATATGCTCATGGTCACCAGCCATCTGTGAGATGCAAATTAAAACCACAATGGGATACCATCTTACACCCATGATGTTAGTTCAATTAAAAAAAATCAGAAAAAAACAAATGCTGGAGACGTTGTGGAGAGAATGGAACGTGTATACACTGTTGGCAGACTTGAAAATACATAAATCCACTATGGAAAGCAATATGGCGATACTGAAAGGAACTGGGAATTGAAATTTGATGTCTTGTTTGTGACAAAACTTCAGCTCATTCTTTCCAAGTACTTTTCAATCACTTGTCCCATTTTATAGGTTACAGAGCTTTTCACATATTTATGATCTCACTTAATCCTCTGGGATTCCCTAGAGGGTGAAAATGGTTGAAGTTTGGGGCTGCTAAACAAAGGGCTGGAGATTTTAGTGCACCAAGAGGTGCTTCAGAAGAAAGATCTGATGATGTACTTCCCCTAAATCAGCCATTGAAAAACTTGTGAAGTGCAATTCTTTGACATACAGGGTTGCCATTTATCAATGGCAATTGGTAACTGTAATCTTAAGCACAATCCTATGAAGCATCAACCAACCAAACCCACACTGTCAAGTCAATTACAATTCATAACAAATCTGTAGGGCAGAGTAGAGCTGCTCATTGGGAGTTTCTGAAACTGTAAATCTTTATTGGAGCAGACAGCCTCATTTTTGTCCTACAGAGTAACTGGTGGACTTGGACCACAATCTTACTATTATCAGCCCAATGCTTAATTCACTGTGCCACTAAATCTCAAGAATGTTGTTATGAAGTCCATCTTGTCAGCTCTAACTCAAAGCAGCCCTATGTACAATGGAAGAAAATATTGTCCAATCCTGTGTCATTATTATCAAACATAATTGTTTTGTTTGAGGCCATTGGTAAAGTCACTATATCCATCTCCTTGAAAGTCTATTTTCTTTTTCACTGACCTTCTGTTTTATCAACACGATGTCTTTCTCCAGGAAATGGTCTCACCTGATAACTTGTCCAAAGTAGGTGAGATGAAGTCTTTCCATCTAAAGAGCATTGTGGATGTTCTTCTTCCAAAACAGATTTGTTTGTTCTACGGGCAGCCTATAGTACTTCCAGTGTTCTTCACCAGCACCATAATTCAAATGCATCAGCTCTTCTGTAGTCTTCCATATTAATTGTCCAGTTTTCACAAGCATATGAGGCAATTGGAAATACCATGGATTGGATCAGGATCACCTTAGTCTTCAAAGTGACATCTTTGATCTCTAACACTTGTTCAGCAAACTAAGTCATTTCTTGATAGCAAAATATACCCAAGCAGACTGTTTCAAAGACTAGAGAGCAAAGGCATGAGGGAATAGTTAGGTACCATAATAAAATTAAGCATACAGCAGAATTAACCTGCCAAGCTGTTGATGTGTGTAGTGAAGCTAGAAGAACAAACAGTTCTCATTAAGGTCCTTTAATTCATATTATAGCTTTCCCTTTTTTTCTATTTTTTGTTATTTCTCTGGCATCTCAGGGAGAAAAGCAAGCATCAATGTTGCAATTTCATGATACATGTACAGTTTAATCCTCATTCCCTCCTACACCTCATATTTGCACACTTCACTAGAAGATAAATGTCCATCAGACTTTCCCTAACTCTCAGTACCTCCCACCCAAGAAGTGTGGGTTTCAAACTCTCGGGCCTCCCCCCCTCCCCACCCACCGAGGAGATTCTTGTATGTTACCCTTGGTGTCTGCTTCTTGACTTCCACAAGGAATGATTGATCAGTTCCAGGCATTCTGTACTACAGAACAACTGTAGATGGGAATACTCCAGGGTTTGAGGTATAGGCAGTCCGTCAGCATGTTGCTACAATGAAGGAAGGAAGCACAGACCCTGGAGCTAAACGTGCAGACAAGTATGATGCTATGGGGTATGATGATGAGGTTACATTAAGGATGGATTCTAGAACCTCTAATGTCTAGAACCTCTAATGTCTGGGAGGCTTGGCATTTAAAAGATAATAAAAAGGAAACTGGAATATGTGAGTGGGTAGAGACCAACTAGGAAGAACAATGTGTCTGAATAGTGTTGACTTTAGACCTTAGCCTATGGTTCAGAAAAAAACAGTGACCTTGATAGTCCTTGAGCTGTGACCTTCAGTAAAAAGATGGAGACAGTACTGGAGAAGAGAATTAGAATACCTGGTTTCTAGTCCCAGGTCTTCAACGCACAGACTATATAAACTTGGGCAAATCAGTTCATTTATCTGGCCCTTGGATTCTTTGTTGGTAAAATGTCACATTGCCTACTCTCTCAGGTTATTGTGAGGGTTATAAGGGGGCATAAACAGGAAAAGTGAAAATCAGTATCTATATTTAAGAAAGCATTTCTAATGAGTTATAGCAAAAGACTCTTTTGGATAAATCCAGATCTTTGCTGGAGGGCTATTATGGGATGAGATGAGAGGTGATACATTTATATTTTAAACATCCAACTGTTTGGAAACTTTATCTGTTCTACCTATGTAGTACTGTGGAAGTAGTAACAAATTATCTAATTTCCATTATACAGAATGAAAAATCCCAGGGTAGCTAAGTCCATTCATTTAATAAATACTTTCAGGGTGTTTACTCAGATTCCTGGGACTGTGCTCTATTTTATGGAAGCAAAAATTAATAAGAAAACATTATTTTTGCCTTCAAGAAGTTCTAAGACGTATGGGGTAGAACTTAATGATGTGCAATGACAAAATAAAAGAAGAATCCTTACATCTTATTCTTGGATGAGTTGGAAAAGTCTAGAAAAATGAGTACATGTTAATCAGCTAGAAAGTCTGAGGAAGGAAGATCTGCCTTCTAGCCAAAGAGAACTATCTAAACCAAGATATAGAGCCATGAGAATTCATGATTTGTACAGCAAACGCAGTTTTCTTGGAATAACTCTAGTTGGGTGCTCTTAATTCAATTGTGACTTGTGGTGGGTAACCCCATATGACAGAGTAGACTTCCCCATGGGATTTCCTATACTGCAATCTTTATACTGACTGTTACTCCCATGTAGCGGCTGGTGGGTTCAAACAGCATATCTTTCAGTTAGTAGCCCATTACCTAACTATTGAGTCACCAGGGGTACAATTCAAATTATGAAAATGCAAGTGACAAGAGATTAATCTAGGGAGGCAATACTTAAAGGAATCTTTTAATATGATAATAATGGTAAGATGATAGGAAACTAGCAAGCAGAAGACATCTGTTGAGTACAAAAGAAGTTAGAAAAAGGAAGGTTAGCAAAAGGGTCAGAAAGAATAGAATACTAAAGGTAGTGGACGAGGAAAGCAGTGGCTGTCAAGTTACCCATTCCCATTGTGTTAGTATGGGTAGAAGAGAGAAACAAATTCATAGACACTTATATGTGTATAAGGAAGTGCTTTATATCAAGAGCATTTGAGTATTGCAAAAACATCCCAGCCAATTCCACATCAAGTCCATAAGTCCGGTATTAGCCCCTTTATCCGATACCAATCTGTAAATTCCTCTTCAGACTCATGAAATACATGCAGTGACGCCAAATGCAGGAAGATTACAGGCCAGTGGGTAGAAAGTCTTGTGGATCCAGTGGCAGTGTAAGCATATGAGCACTGGCAGGAGTCTCCACGTGGCTCCTCCAGCTCCCAGGGCTCTGGCTGCATCAGAGTAGATCCATTAGGCTCGTCTTCTGTAATGTCTCACAGGGACTGAGTGTGTGTCCCCGCCTCCAACAAGCTATTTATCTCCTTAGCGCCTTCAAATGAGGTCATCAAGCTGTGATCCAATTGACAACAGATTATGTAACCACCACACCCATGTACTGATAGGTAACAATATCCCTCTCCAGAGTTGTTAGAAGAGTTGAATAAGATTATAGGTAGAAGAGAACTTTGTAAAGTGGAATTGCTGTTCATATGGGAGAAATGATTATCACACTACATCCAAAGAGGTATAGGAATCAAGAGCATAGGATATGGAGTTGCATTACTTGGTTTAAAATCTGGCTTGCCAGTCACTGTCTGTGTGATCTTGGACAAGTGCCTTAACCTCTCTGTGACTTAGTTTTACAAATTTACAGAATGATAATAATAATAATTCTTACTTTAGTGGGTTTTTGTGAAGATTAAATGAGATAATGCAAAGCTTAGAAAAGAATTCCCTGGTTGTACGGAGTCAAATAGTTGTTCCATTTCAACTGATAATGCCCTTTTCACCTCCATCATCATCCCATGTGAGCTTTACAATAGCAGCTCAGTGAAATAGAAAGGGCAAGGAACTTATTCTCTGTCATATAGTCTACCTTTTTCTCCTTCCCTTCAGAGGCCGGCATTGATTATCTCTTGGCTCCTTGTAGCCCGTCCATGAGTGTCCATCAGAGTTTTAGACTTATTTTAGCCCATTAATGTCTAATCTGACTACTGTCCCTGCCCTACCTCTCCAGGATTCCGCAACTTGCATGTGGATGACCAGATGGCAGTCATTCAGTATTCCTGGATGGGGCTCATGGTGTTTGCCATGGGGTGGAGGTCCTTCACCAACGTCAACTCCAGGATGCTCTACTTTGCACCTGACCTCGTTTTCAATGAGTAAGTACCCTTAGACCCTACCTCACATAGGCACAACAGTCTGTCCAAGTCTGAGTGGTGTGATGGAGGTAGGAAAGGGGATAGTGGAATTTACCTCATTTGACATACAGATGAAGTAATGGAAGCCCCAATCAGACAGTCAAATCTGTGGTGGCTTTGCCCAAGATGCTAGCGGTGACAAGGGAGGGGGAGTTGTATTGGTGGTTGTGGTGTTGTTGTTAAAGTTATTCCCTTCACAAACCTGGTATTTTGGTCATGCTTCTGACTTACTTTAGGGCTTACCTTCAAACCTTCACTCTGAGCAACATAGGAAAGAAGCATAGATCCTCTGGTTGTGAGGGCTGGATGTCCTTTCATTCCATTGCTACTACTAAGAGTGTTACTACTAGTCATTATTTTTTGAGCATCCGATTTGTGACAGAGCACTGCTAGATACTTGTTGTATATCATCTCAGAAAGTTCTCATGACAACCGGATGGGATGGCAACTGTAATCTCCTGCTTTGTTGTTTAAGTTGTGATGAAAATATACTTAACAAAGCATACTTCATCTCAACAATATCTGCAGTACATGGACAATTTTGGTGACATTGATGTAATTTCTCCCTCCTCACTTTTTTCTAATGAGGAAAATAGCACTCAGCAAGAAATAACAGCCTGCCTAACATCGCACAGCAGAGATTCCAATTCAGAACTATATGACTCCAACTCTAGGATGCTGCCTCTGAGGAATTATAAGAGTGGAACTTCTGGTTTGTTTTAATGAGACAAGGGCATTCCTAACTTCAAAGGCTTTTAATGCCTTGGCTTTTATTTCCATGTTATTTTTCAAAAATTTAACTTGAAGTTCTTAACCAGCCTACTATCTCATGCCGTTAGATAAATATGCCCCCAGCTCTTACACAGGGAGGAGGAGCTTGGTAGTATTATTTTGCTACCCCTGAAGGTTACTGCCAGCCATCATCTGTGGAACAAATATCTTGTGCCAGAGCAATGCTATATCCTGTGTAAATATCATTTCAGCGAGTTTTCAGGAAAATAAAAACGAATTCCCCTTTTTATAGATAATCCCTTTTTTATGGGTGGGAAAAGTCAGACTCAGCAAAATAAACTAACTCCAGGTAACACAATAGTGCATGTTGCAAACAAAAACACAAATGTATGTTTGTGTAATTCCTAGACCTATTGTCTCATGGTGGTAAATTGTGGGGAAGAGAAGCTCCATCACTCCCTCACTGTGATAAAATGATCTAGTTATTTTCATTCTTTTAAAAATCTCTTAAAATTGGTTTCATTAATGTCTAACCTACTTGCTGAAATCAAGGAGGACTTGAGGCACTTACTGATGAAGACCATGGATTACAACTCTATAAAAGAAAACCAAAATCCTCACAACCAACCAATAGATAACATCATGATCAAAGGAAAAAAATTGAACTTATCAAGCATTTTGTCTCCCTTGCATCTACGATCAAAGCCCTTAGAAGCAGCAATCAAGAGTTCAAACGATATATTGCATTAGGTCAATTTGCTGCATAAGACCTCTTCAAAGTGCTGAACAGCAAGGATGTAACTTTGTGGACTAAGGTATGCCTGACCCAAGCAATGCTATTTTCAATCGCCTCACATACATGCGAAAGTTGGACATTGAATAAGGAAGACTGAAGAAAAATAATTGCATTTTAACTATGGTGTTGTTGAAGAATATTGAAAGTACCTTGGACTGCCAAAGGAACAAACAGATCTGTTTTGGAAAGTGCTCCGTAGAAGCAAAGATGGCAAGATCTGTCTTATGTATTTTGGTCATATTATCGGGTGTGGAGGTTATGTAATCTCCTGTCAACTTGGGAAGGGGTGGAGTCAAGGCTGTCAATCAGACATAGTCAAGGAGGCATCAGTGTGGGCATGGTCTTCTCCTGAGGATTCTGGGAATTTCTGTTTTCCTCCCTGGAGGCAGGACACACTGTCTGCTTCATCTTCCTTCTGACAAGACACCTGGAGCTACTCTAGAGTTCTGGAGCTGGAGGAGCCACGTGGAGACCCCTGCCAGCACTGAGATGCTTACACTGCTACTGATTCCACAAGACTTTCCACCCACCAGCCTGTGATCTTCCTGCATAAGACTATGGGCTTGATCTGGACTGTGCTGGGATGTTTTCTTAATATACAATTACTCTTTGATATAAAGTCCTCTCTAACACACATGAGTGTCTCTGGATTTGTTTCTCTAGCCTACCCAGACTAACACATCAGGAGAAACCTGTCCCTAGAGAAGGAGATCATGCTTGGTAAAGTGGAAATGCAAAGAAAAAGATGGATTGAAACAATGGCTGTAACAATGGGTTCAAACATAAAAAACAATTATGACTGAGTTAGTTACTTTATTGTGCCAACCTGGCCAATAAACATATGTGGGGTTAATTGAAGGGCAGAGAGATAAATGGCTCAGTGAGCCTTGCCTTTTGAGTTCTTGGGTCTCTTGCTTTCTGATGGTCAGACCAGGGTGGAGCTGCCTTAGCCAGTTCCCTGCTTCACCTGGCAAGGCTCACTTCCTGCAAGACATCCCCAAGGAGAAGCCACATGGACCTACCCTGATGCAGCCCTGGATACTGGAGCAGCCGTGTGGAGACCCCTGCCAGCGCTGAGATGCTTACACATTCACTGATTCAGCTTTCCTCCTGCAGTCAGCATCATAGTGTGTGTTTTGTGAAATGGAGGAGGACTTTGTGGATTGGTGTCAGACATATGGGTTAATGTTGGACTTGTGGGCTTGGGCAGCACTGGGTTGGGATGTTTTCTTGATGTGCACTTAACCTTTATATAAAACTCTCTCTTACACATGAGTTTCCGTGGATTTGTTTCTCTAAAGTACCCAGACTAACACAATGATGATGAAGCAAGACCAAGTGATGTACATAGGGTTTCTTTGAGTTGAAACCAACTCAACGTCACCTAACAACAACCCTGCTTTCAGCTGTACTTATCTTTTATAAATTAGTCAGGGGTTTATATTTGGGGATTATATTTTTCTGGACATAAATCTGAGCTCTACTATTTCTGAACATTTATATCTTGGAGAAAAGCCTTTGACTTTCTTGCTTCTTCTTTTCCTCATCTGTTAGTAATAACACCAAAATTCAAACCTATTGCCATAGCAACTCTAAAAGAGAGAGTAGAATTTCCCCATAGGGTTTTCAAGATGGTAATCTTAATATGGAAGCAGACTTTCACATCTTTTCTACTGTCAAGTGGCGATTAGGTTTGAACTGCTGACCTATTGTTTAGCAACTGAGCTGTAAGCCACAATGTCACCAGGACTCCTATTAATAATGAATCATCAAAACAAAAACAACTCACTGCCATAGGGTTGATTCCAACGCATAGTGACTCTACAAGATAGGGTAGAACTGTTCCTTAGATTTTCCAAGTCTATACATCTTTATCGGAGAAGACGGTCTCATCTTTCTCCTGTGGGTTTGAACTACTGATCTTGTAATTAGGAGCCCAATGCATATCCTACAGTGCCCCCAGGCCTCCTTGTTAATAATAGTAACCTTTCTAAAATTGTGTGTCATGATGGCTTCATGGGAACTAATGGATACCTGATTCATAATATAAAGTACAAAAGAAGTCCTTTTCTAATACTCCACATCTCTAATACCAATACTCTATAAGACTGCTGTTTAAGACCTATATATGATGTTTTGAATGAAACTGGCCAGAAATATCTTTCCAAAGACCTTTTTTCAGTCTCACAATAGAGAATCTCTTTGGTCAGGGAAGAAATTGGCCTTCCCTCTCCTCCATTCCTCTAACCCAAAAGAGGCTTAAAAGGCCAGTGGTTCCTTCCAGTACTGCAATGCCATGCAAGAGAAAGTGAGCGTCCCCAGCTGCCCTTTCCCAACCTAGCCAGTCTTGGTAGCTAGAAGCTAAGAATAAACACTGGGCTTTTGGCATGACCTGCTCTGTGGTTTCCAGGCTTCCAAAGAGTTACCTATGATGCCATCATCTGGAGAAGTCCTTGAAAATCTTCCTTCCTGGTTATTTTGTTCTCCCACCCACTAACAATACCCACATCAACCTGCCTAGAACCTGGAGGTTTTCGAGGATTTGAAAGTTGATAATTGATTATTTCCTGCATCCTAATTTCTATCTTTGCCTCTACATTAGTATGTGACATCCCACTTCAACCTTCTGGCCCAGTCCCAACCACCTCTTTCCAGAGGTATCTCTGGGCTCACCACAAGGTCAGAGGAATAGACCCACCAAACCTTCAGGGATCCTGAAACAACAATCCTTCTTATAGAAACCTACTATGTTAGAATTCTTGGGGTCCTTAGAAACATCTAGGCCAGTGTTTTTCATCAGGGATGTGACTGATATATTGGGTGGGATATTTTATTGTGAAAAATGGTCTTGCATACTGGAATATATTTAACATCTTTAACATCCCTGGCATCCCTAAATGGGAAACAAGACCCCAATTGTGAAAAACCCAAACTTCTCACACAACTGCCCACCATGGTGGCAGTACCACTCCAGTACCCACTCAACCTGTGGGTCAAGACCCCTTTGGGAGTCAAACTACCCTTTCACAGGGGTGGCCCGATTCATAACAGTAGCAAAATTACAGTTATGAAGTA